AAATTATATAAAAATTTTTTTTTACAAATTTCAAATTTTGACCTAGCCAGGTTATGAAAATCAATTAATTAATTTTTGCATGACCTAATGAAACTTTGTAGATGCACTGTCTTTCAATAGTATTAAACTTGAATTATAATACTCTTATAATCAATAATGAATTTTAAAAAAAATGTATAATTTGCTTAACTAAATTTTCAATTATCACAATTAATCAAAATTAATTAAAATGCTTCACTAAAAATTTATTGTATTAAATACTGATTTACCATATAGCATGATCTAAAATACTCAGGGTACTTTGTGCAAGACAAGTATTTTACGTTTCAAGTATCATTATTTTTAATTAACCTATCTATAATACTATAAATACAATATATTCTAGGCTCTAAAAATCGTAGAGAATATTATAATAAGGGGACCTTTTAGACCACGCTATATAGTAATTTTAGCCAATTAGATAGTTCAGTATAGCAACTCAAAAAAGTGATCATCTGATTTGAATACTTACTAGACATGTTTAAAGTTTTGTGCACATTTTAAATGCATTAAAGTTATAATAAAATTAATATATAAGCACCCAAATTCTATACTGTTTCATTGAACTGATTAAAATCAACATTAGCATATTTATCACGTGATTTGTTTTCATTCACAATTCAAAATAAAATAGATTAAAATGAATAATTACCCACAAATTATATTGCCTAGTACTCCAGTAAATGAAAGTAAATAAAAGTAATGAATTCCTTACCCGCAGACATGAACAATCTAAACAAATTATGCGTCAAAGAGATGCCATGCAATCAGATGAACAATAAAATATAAGAAATTTACAAAATACCTTAAATATGCAAAACAAATATGTCTTAGAAACTCTTGATAAAATCTTAATTAATAACAAAATGAATCTGCTCAAAAGAGGTGGCAAAGATTAGAACAACATATTAGATCTAAACCTGAGACCAATAAATAGCTTTCTTTATCTAACAGAAAACTTCTACGGAACTTTCGCAATGCCATAAAAAAGCTTAGTAACATACTCTGCAATGTATACAATAAGCAATTTTGATCTATTGTGCTTTTCAAGAAGAATGCCGTCGTTGTTATAAGAAAAAGGGTGACACACTAAAAAAATTCTTTGCTGAAAACAATATGGACTCTAGTATCTTAGATTATTTATATATATTATTATCAATTGGAAGAATTGAAAATATGTACAATTGTTAATAAAATAAATTAATATTTTTTAGGTGATGTGCTCCAAGAACTTCAGGATCTTACTGAAATTGAGGAAATGCTGATTGCCCAAGTTTTCACAGTTATATCAGTTTACAATCTTCGTGGAGGCCAATATGCATATCGAGGAAATATTATTAACTTTTACAAAATGTGCAAGAATTTGCAAATCACCTACTATATCATCTCTCTTTATTAAATATGCTTATTGTATGATATAATTCTTCAGACCGATCAGCTTTTCGTGATTTTTAGATCCACCAAAATAAGGTTTCTAGAGCTCTTTATTGATTAAAAGAAAACAATATTTTTTACCGTGATATTGAAATTGCTGATAATATATTATTATTTTTGCCTGAGAATGATACAATAATTGATTAGCTTTCAGAGGTAGCAAATAGCTATGAATTATGTAATGAACAAGCAGATGATTTAAATAATAATGAACAGGAGAAAATTAAGATTTTATTTTACGTACTTTTGTTCCAGTTCTGCCCCAGGACATAGTGAAAACTATGCAATAAATAATGCTCTAAATCGTATACAATATAATCAACTAGACTATGAATATTCGACAGTTGACTGGCCTCATATTGAAAGTACACCAATTGATGAATTTCATACTGTAGGATATATTGCATATGCATTTTCTATACTTTTTTCCCAGGACAATGCTGATTTTCATGCATATCATGTGAAGGAAGTGAAACTAGCAGAGTACTTTCAACACCTTCTAAAATACAAGAATGCTTTTTGCTTATCATTCACATTGGAGATACTTTGTTTTAAATTCTTTAATGTGTTGAAAAGTATTAGCAGAAGGACACATATTTGTTAGACAAAATTTAGAGAAGAGACAACTTACTGTAGCTAAAGTTCAAGAATTGTTGCAAAGTGATATTCATATGGCAGATAGAGTGATAATATTTAGAGAAGGGTTGAGAGGTACTCGTCAATATTGGATGTAGTATCATGCAAAACTTTCTGATATGAGGTTTGGGCCTTGTAGCTTAGTGGTTAAGCTCCCAAACCCTACAGACAAGATCAACGGTTTGAGTTGGGCTGGTGGCAAATTTTGAATTTGTTACTATAATTTATGGAGCCATAATCAGATGCAAAGCCCTGTGGAAAGTCCAAGTGCAAGTATAGTTCTGGAATAGAAATTTCTGGAAGGAGCCCCGATTATGGAGTGCAGGCACTATATGTGATAGCGGCATTACAGAAGGTCTAGGTTGTAGAAGATTGTGTGAGTAAGTCCTCTGGTTGGGGTAACTAAAAAGACAATACCAACATCCCATCACCTCTGTATGTAGTAATACCAACATCCCTATACCCAACTTGTGGGGTACTTGCTTGGAAGGATGATCAACAGATTGTGCGTATAAGTCCCAATATAGTTGGCATTAGGTATTTGCTTAGAAGAGTGATACGATACTACTGAAACTAAAATGGTAAGAAAAGCAGTGAACATGTGAAAAGGCTGTGGTAAAAAATTGGCCTTATCTAAATTGGAAGCATCTCTGGTACTGTGAAGCAACTAACTAAAGAAGGTAATCTCATAGAGACAGACTAGCTAACCTAGTACGTCTAAAGGCACCAAGTCAGAGCTCTGGTTATACCTATATGGAAATCAATGACGAAAGATGCCAGAATATACCAACAATAATGCAACACCAACCAATGAGAAGATCAAGTTGAAAGTCAAGATGAATTGGGATACGCCTTCTAGTAACATGATGCAAGGCCTATGGTTGGAAGTAGAGCTGCTTACCATTTAAGGAATTTCGTAGTGTTAGGCTGGTCTTTAACAAGATAGGTAATTAAAGTAGCATTATGAAATATGGTTCTGATAATATACTATATGAGGAAGTACAAACAGGTTAGTTAGTACTACTATATCAGAAAAAGAACGTTAAGTCCTGGGATAGGCAAACCAGTGTGGCAGCAGAACTTGGCTTGAGATACAGGTTAGTAGTACCTGGGCTGATAAGTGGAAGGGTTCATTGTAAATAATATAAAGTAATCCGACAGTGTAATACCAACTCAGTCATGTGGTAAACCTAACTAGGCAGCAAGTTTCTGGCTTGAGATACAGGCTGTAGAAAGGCCATCTTCACCAATTATGGTTGTACTAATAGAATCTGTAAGGAGACTTGCAGTAGATTGTGTTTGCAGATACACCAAATTGGGAGCTCATTAGAAGCGAGTACCTGACATACCAAATTGGAAGTTATGACTGGTTATGTGAGACGTGAGGGAATATAGTGATTACTGGAAATAGATAGTTGTAAAGCAAACATCTAAGTGAAACATGTGTGGGGCATGTAGGTTGTAGATAAAGTAGTCTAAGTCTCTGTAGTTCATAAAAATTAATGTATATATAATTGTAATTGAGCAATAAAGTATATGTTAATAAAAACCAGAGGCATGACCTCACCTTGATATTAAAAAAAAAAAAAAAAACTTTTTGATATGATAAAACAGTTAGATAGCCAAGGGATAATATTCTTCACTTTTAGCGTAGCAGATATGCACTAGCCTGAACTTCATAACTTGATACCTCATAGTGAAAATATCATTAAAGAAACAGAGCAAGAGGCTACTAAACAATGGCATCAAGATCTAATTGATAATCTACATATTGCAGCTTGGTTTTTTGAGAAGCGATTCAAAGTATTTTTTGAAAAAGTTTTAATACCAAAATGTGAATTAGTAGACTGATGATATCGATATAAATAGCAATATCATGGAAGTATTCATATTCATGGCATTGCAATTCAGAAAAATACACTAGAAATTAAATAGAAAACTATAAGGGCAAATCAAAAACAAATAAAAGAAACAATCCATTATCTAGACTCATTAGTAACAACAGTAAATTCTGGTTTAAACTATATATACTACCAAAATAGGTTTTTAAAAAAACCCTATTTTGTCTCTATTAGAGCAATTTGAAATTTTTTATATACAAGAGCGAATCTAATTTAGGTAGTTATGTTCTTTATAATTTCGTCTCTTCAAAAAAAGTGTCAAAAAATTTCATCCTTTAAGTAAAATAGATCAAAACCAATTTCGTCTTCAAATTTTAATTTTATATCCCAAAACCTAAAATAATTTCATTAGCATGTATAGTTTAAACGCACCAGTGTCTATACATTATCTATGCCAAAAACGTCTCAAAGAAATTGATGATAGATTACAGGATTATATAAAACTCATAAACAAGTTATAGTGGTATACATGTTGCAGTGCCTCATATTGTTTAAGAGTCAACAAGCAAACAGGCTAGCAATCTTGTAGATTTAGATTTCCAAAAAAATTAAATAATTAAGCTTTGGTTTGATTTGATAATAATAGTCATCTAGAATTAATTATAGCCAAAAATGATCTCCTCATCAATCCACATAATTGGCTTCAACTTCAGGGTTGGAGAACAAATATTGACTTGAAACCTGTACTTACAATATACATCGTATTGCAATATATCTCTAAGTATACAAATAAAGCTGAACTACGGTTGTTGATATTCTTAGAAATTTTAAACAGAACTCTTCATAGTGCTAACCCTGATAGCCTATCAATTGTTGCATTTCAAAAATTACTTCTCTACACTGTATCTAAATACAACTATTCAGCTTAAAAAACTTGTCATCTTCTTTTTGGAATTTCTCTCTATCATAGTAGTCGAAACTTTATTACTCTAAACCTTAATAAAAAGGCACCTCAGTAGCTTCGTGGTAGTAGAGAAAATAATCATGATAATGACATACAAGAAGAACAGGGCTCTCACCTTTGTAGCTGTATTGGAATTGACCCATTGACCTTCAGGACCTTTCACTCTTCAGACTTTACCTACAATTTAAATTTACTAAAGAGAAATAGATAAAATATAATAAAACTAATCTAGTACACATATGGCCTTATCCTTCTCTTTTACATAATAGACCCTATTGGGAAGATTTTTGTTATATAAAAGTTCTTCTCCATTTTGCCATCGAAGTTTCCAGCAACTCACTAATAACAACACACTTTCATGGGAAGAGTTATATGAGCATTATCTGCCAGAAATTAATACAGATTCTGATAATATAATCGACCTTGCAAAAGAAAATCCTGAAGACGATAATAGTAATAATAATAGTATAGATGATCTTGAAAA